TTGTGTGGGCATGGTAGGTGTGCTTAGGGCATGCTTGTGTGGGCATGAGGCATTGAGGACAATAGCTGGTTAGCCATTGAGCTGAGTCCCAGAATCCCTGGAGATTCTGCCAGGAGCAGGGAGGAGACTTTTCACTCCTGGCTAGGTACAGCCGGGAACGGGTGACGCAGTAACACCCCGTTGTGTGTTCTTTGACTGAGCTGTAGACAGCACAACAGCAGCGGAACTACTACCAGGACAAGACTGGCACGGTGCCCCGTGTTCCCTACTTCGTGCTGCCTGTGAAGGAGCGGAACCGGTACCCCCTACCCACTGACTTGTGAGTGTCCCTGTCTTCCTCCCTGTTGTGAATACCCCTACACACACATCCACAGGGCACCTCCTCATCGGGCCCTTAGAGCCCTAACACTCAAAACCAATTAGCAATCTAACCTGTGGTGCCTGCCGTGCAGAAGCAGTTGCATTGCAGAGAAGGTCCCAGGCCCAGGAACTGATGGAGGCAGAATGCCAGGAACCTGTGTGGGCACGGTCAGGAAGTGCTTTCCTGACCAGATGCATACTCCACAGCCTCTGCTGGTGGGAACCTGCCCCCTGCTTCCTCTGCAAAGGCTGGGTCTCAAAGCTGCACCAGTCCAAACCTGGAGCTGCTGCTGCCCTCTGGTGGTTGAATGGGACACTACACCCACTAGAGACCCGCTGTCAGTTTACCACCCCCACCTTCTTGCTGTTTCCTACGGAGCCCAGTCTGGGTTGTTCTGGGAACCTAGTTTCACACTAAGAACTTGAAAACATCTTAAAAGCTTAACTAACCAAGTAAAAAACATGTAAGAAAGCATGTTACAGCCTAGCCCTCACGCCTGGGCTTATCTGGGAGAGCCTCGACCCACCTCCAGATCAGACCTATGTTGCCCTGCAAGGTGAACCAGGCAGTGTATTTCCTCCTGCCACTCAAGGGATCACAAGCTTATTCCTAGGTGCCTGTGGCTTTGGTAGAGTGGTGACTTGTGCCTGGCTAGGGATGCAACACTCCAAGCCCATTCATTCTTCACCCGACTCTTGCAACCTACCTCCCTTTTCTGGGAGTGGGCAGGTTTGGGGCTTCAACCCTCCTTAAGCCCTGCACACCTCAAGAGTCCCGGCCTCAGCATCCAAGTGTCAATAGGCAACTGTTCACACACCGTTCGATAGATTTTGCAGACATTGTCCCACTGCCTCTAGAAGTGCCTCTCTGTGGATAAACAGGTAAACTGAGTCCAGCGAGAACCTCGGGAGCTTGTGCTAGGTGGCCTGGTGGCTGGAGGCCCAGTCTGGGAAGAGACCCATGTCTGCTACCATCAACTCAGCCTTTGAGTTGGCCTTCTCTCTAATAAGGCAATTCTGAGCGTGTCTCCATGGAGACAGGTCTCCTGGCATTGTACCAGGTGTGTTCTTGAATCTTCAAGACCACTGGATCTTGTTTTTTCACCAAATTACCTGGTAGTCCATAAGACAGTGCCATGCCTGACCCAGACAGTTAATCTTAAGTGCCTAGGGAAGGTCAATGGTCAGTTCTATAGCCTGGAGAGTCTCTACTTTTTGGAATTCCATCACCACCATCACCACCATAAATGCCATCACCACCAACATTACCATCACCACCACCATCACCACCACCACCATCACCACCATCACCACCACCATCACCACCATAAATGCCATCACCACTACCATTACCATCACCACCACCATCACCACCACCACCATCACCACCATCACCACCACCATCACCACCATAAATGCCATCACCACCACCATTACCATCACCACCACTACCACCACCACCACCACCACCACCACCATCACCATCACCACCACCATCACTACCACCATCATCACCACCACTACCACCATCACTGCTATCACCGTCATCACTGCTATCACCTTCACCATCATCAACATGATGATCACCATTATCCTCACCTTCCTCTCATCACAATTACTGTTACCACCATCACCACCATTACCCCCATTACCTTCACCATCATCACCACCATCACATTCACCATCCCTCACCACCATCATCCTTAATGTGACATCACCATTGGCCACCATTTCCTGGAACAGCTGAGTGTTTCCTCCTTGCCTTGCCGTCTGTTAGGTGCCTTCTGTGCAGAGCTTCATTTAGAACAAAGTCAATAGAATAACAGTAACAGCAGCTCACTGTCACATGGGTTTGCTTCCAGCAGGAGATGGGACCAGAATCCATACCCAAGTCCATGTGACTTTGCAGATGTCACACTGTTGAATGGCCACAGGGCCACAAAGCCACTGTGGGTACATGGGGTTATGGTGAACACTCTTTACCCTTCCCACCAGGCACACTGCCTGACAACGGCCCCATCCTTACCCCCAGGCCTCCTCTGAGCCCGAAGAATAAGTGGCACCTTCTAAGAGTGTCCCCCGACTACCTGAAGACCTACCAGACTTTCCCATCAGGGAAGAGAGTCTCCTCACAAGAGCGACAACGGAGGGACCTTTACTTCGAGTTCAGAGCCTGAAACCAAGTGGCTGAGGCCAGGGAGCCTGGGCCTGACCAGGCTGCCTTGCTTGAAATAAAATCTTCAGCCACAGCCATCCCATGTGCCTCTCCTTTGGATCCTGTCACCATGCATGGAGGTATCCTGAGCACCTGGGAGAGCTAAGCCTAAGAGATTCAAACTAAGATGTGGCGTTAGCTGCAGTGGGTCACCCAACTGCTCCCAAGTTGAGGCAGGTGGGATTGGTGGGTCTGACAAAGGTCAAGCTCACGAGTCTGCCCAGGCGGGTCCCTTGGGCATGGAGATCTCACATTCGCTTTCGCTAGCATAATTGAGAACACTCAGCCCATGTCTGGAAGTGGGTGCCATGACTCCCAAACAACTGCCCTGAGTGTTCATGCTTAGCTAATGTTGTCTCTTTACTCGGTCTAGGACCCCAGCCCGTGGGATTTTGCCACTCACATTCTGAGTGGCATTTCTACCCTCGGTTAATTGACTTCACAAACACCCTCACTGATGTATGAAAGGTGTGTGTCACTAACTCCATAGGTGTTGCTTCGTCCACTCAAATTGACAGTCAAAATAACCCTCACTCACGGGAAGGAATCACCCCTGGACTGGAGCCTTGACATTATTTAATTGACCCTTATAACTTGTAAGCACAGCGTCTCCCTGAAGATGTGCAGCTTCCAGGATGCTGAGAAAGTTGCCCAAGTGCACACAGTAAGGAAAGGACACAGACAAGATTTGAACCGTCCTGGCTTCTCACACAGTCAATGTGGAGACAGAAGAGGTCTTTACAGTCAGTGTGGAGACAGAAGAGGTCTTTATGATCCCAAGGGGTCTGGCAGTGGTGCAGCTTTTAAGAGAAACTCTTTGAACATCAGTATTCAGCACGGGCTGTCAGGAGCTAGCTGAGTGGGCATCTACCCCTGAGCTTAAGTCTTTTTTTTTTTTTTTTTTAATGTTTTCTTGAGACAGGGTTTCTCTATGCAGCTCTGGGTGTCCTGGAACTTGCTCCATAGACCAGCTGACCTTGAACTCAGAGATCTACCTCCATTTGCCTATCAAGTGCTGACACTAAAGGCTTGTGTCACCACAACCCAACGAGCTTATTTGTTGAAGAGCTGGAGGGGTGAGCTGGGACTAAATACTCTTAACAACCTGGCCACAGGGAGTAGATGCCAAGGTCACAAGCCTTGGTGATCTTGAGGGCCAATGTGACAGCTTCCAACCTCCTGGGAGACTTTAACAGGGCAGAGGGTAGGATGTAACGGCCCTATAGGTGGCTCTGGGGAGGAAATCTCCACTCAGGAGTGTGCTATACCATTGGGCTCCCCCAGCCTTCCAAACCCTCCTGGATTAGACCAAAGTGACTTCATCGAGCATTGGGTGTCTATTGCCTCCAAACGGATGAGTCACGACATAAGACAGAATTCAAGTGCACACTGTGAGAAAGTAACCCTTCCTGTGTAACCCATGCTTATCTACCTCCCTTGGGACCCCAGAGATGAGAAAAACCACGTGCCCAGCAGGTAGCCATCTGGCAGCCCCCACAAGTTCCCATGGTGCACTTCTCTTGTGTCCTGGAGTCTCCAGCCAGCTGGACCCCAAAGTGTCCCCAGAGTGGCCAAATTCATGGCAGGACTTGGTTGAATAGCAAAGCAAATAAGCCCTAAATGCTGGTCACACATGGTCCCATCCCCAGAGCCCAAGGGCGGCAAGCAGGGCCAAGATGTCTTCTCTGTGGGAGGAAGATGGAGAAGCCAGGCGCCAGCTGGAATGACAGCTATGTGCACATCCCTGATGTGCCCTGGGAGAGAATGGGTCACGGGTGGGCTCCAGAGAAGGGAAGGTCGAATATTTTTCTTCTGAACTTTGTTCTATTTGGCTCAGTCCTCTCCTCTGACACGGGTTGAGGCTTGAACTCTGTCCTAAAAAAGATTGCCATCCTTTCTTGTCTGGAGTTTTTGGCAAACCTGAGCCCTAGAATGAGCAGTTCTCAACACCAACTCCCTGTGCAGGACCCTGCCTTCAAAAGGCGGTGGGCATGGAGGAGCTGAGGAAAACATTTCTTTTTATTTATTTAGTGAACATTCTAGAGGTGAAGAAGGGACAGGGACACATCATCCTTCAAGTCAGATTCCACCGTGCCAGGACGCAGGGCGGTCCAGTAGTCTCCCTCAAGGCTGCTGGACCAGAAGGTACCTCCATGTCAGCATCCCCAGAAATGAATCCGAAATGAGCTGGAAAAAAGAATCCAGAGATATCTGAGAGCCCCACCTTGTCCCATCAGGCCTGTTTCTGTAGGTAATGGTCCCAGCCAACTCAAACCGTGTGTCTGTGTGTCTGTGTGTGTGTCTGTCTGCAGGTGTGTGTCTATGTGTGTCTCTGCCTGTGTATGTCTGTGTCTCTGTGTGTGTCTGTGTGTGCCTGTATGTGTGTCAGAGTCTGTGTGTCTCTGTGTGTGTCTGTGTGTGGGTGTGTATGATTGTATGTGTGTGAGAGTCAGTGAGGGTGCATGTGCACTCATGGACATGTGTGGAGGCCAGAAAGCAACCTCAAGTGCGGTTCCTCAGGAGTCATCTACCTTGTTTTTGTTTTTTGGTTTTAGACAAAGTCTCCTGCTGGCACCAGGGAGCCCTGTGAGCACCCTGTCTCAGCCTCCCCAGCCTTGGTATTGCAAGCATACGCCACTACACTCAACTTCTGCTACAGATTCCAGGAATGGAACTCTGGTCCTCATGATTGCATAGCATAGCAAGCTGTCCGCCGACTAAGCTATTTCTCCAGTCTCTAAACTTTCTTTAAGCCTCTCTTAGCATCACCAGAAAACAAAAGATTTCTGAATTTGGGGATGCCAGAGCCAATGGAAAGAAATGGGAGCGATTTAGACACAGGAACAAGGAAAATAGGGTTCCAGTGCCAATGTTGTGTGGGGCTGATGTGGAGAAAGTGGAATTCCCTTGGAGAGGACTGATCCCAAGAGAGACCTATGTAGGTTCTGCCTAGCCACAGTCCTCTGATGGTAGCCACGACAGAGTCAGGAGCCTTCATCTCCATCCTTGTGGTTGGAAGAGATGTGGACCCAACTGGGACAATCAGAATCACTCTGAGAATTTGGAGTTGAGCTGAGACACCACTTAAGGGTCCCTGAAGTTCAATCAAACATATCATAAACTGTTGGGAGGCTGTGACACATGCCGGCCCGTGTCTGGTAACCCAGAGGTTGCTGGTGTGCAACGGAAGGTAGGCATGGAAGAGTAGAGAAGTAGGGTTAATGGAGGTAGAGATGGGTTGGAGAAAGGGAGGAAGAGAGGGAGGGAGGGAGGGAGGAAGGGAGAGAGAGAGAGAGAGAGAGAGAGAGAGAGAGAGAGAGAACATGCAGCTGCCTGGGCTTCTGCCAGGGTTCCTGCTCAACCCCGCTCTGTCCTTTTTTTTTTTTTGAGTTGGTTTGTAAAATTCTCCAGAGTCACCATCCTTCCTCCTCATCAAAATCATCTGTCTGTGAGATCAAGGGGCAGTGTCAGGGGCAAGTGTGCCAGACACGTCACGGGATGCTGACTCAGCACAAGGAAGGCTGTTCTCGCCGGACTGTTCAGTCATGACGCGGACTACCTCTGGAGAGGATGCATTTGTTCTGAACTGGAAGGAAGCAGAAGACTGACAAATGCAGCCTTGGGAATAGAGAGGGCCATCATCTGGAGGGAGGCTGGAGCAGAAATCAGCGAGGTCCCTTCTGCCGGGTAGAATTAGCTGCTTCTCTTGTGACATTTCTTTCGTCAGCTCTTCCTCTGGCATCTTTACACTGCTGAACAGTGCCCCCCCCAGCTCCTAGTGTATCTGGGTAATAGTGGGCAACACTCAGGTCATATCTGAAGCCCAGTAGGTACTGGGAGATGTACACAGATGTTCTGGCCATTAGGAGTAATGTCTCTGAGGTTGCACCAACCCCAGAATCCTGTCATTCTGCAAACCCTGGAATCCTGTCATTTCCTGTCTTGGTTCCCCAAGGTTGACAGATTTCTCAGACATTTCGGTTTTGCTACTTCTAAAAGAACCAGTGGAGGCCAGGAGACTCATGACTTTCATGGCAAGACAGAGACATGGCACTCTTCCAGCGGAGACTAGGGAGCCTTTCCTGCCTCCAATCTTGCTGGAGAGCCCCTCCCCTTAGGAGTGCCTTACTTCATGAAATCTGGAGATTTGGCCATTGCATGTTCAAACTCGGAGAAGGACAGCATGTTGTCATTGTCCAGATCTGACTCGCTCAGGACCTGGTGGAAGGAAGGAGACAGAGAGAAACCCAGGAGATAGGTCTCAACATGGAGAGACAGACAGCGTAGAGGAGCTAGTATATGGGAAGATGTCTCAGGGACCCCACAGAGAGGTGTGTGCACTAAGGTCGGGGTGCAGGAGGCATCACGGGCTAGCCTTTTGGAAGAAGTCTCCTCAGCGGCCCCCAGCACCAATGTGGCAGTGAGGACAGTAGTCCCCACTCACCCCATCAGCCAGACACAGGCATGAGCCCCACACTGTAAGAAGCCCGAGTCAGGCAGGAAGTGACACCATTCAGCCCTGAAATCCTCAGGGGCTCTCATAGCCTGAGAGCTCATGGGCCTGTGCCCATGCCTTGATGAGCAATGTGAGCAGGGGAATGTTGTGATGTGTTCATCACGTGCTAAGCTGCTGTAGGCCCGGAGGCCCTTGGTGACCCCTGTAGGTGGGAGGCTCTCAGGAGGGAAGGGAGGAAGATAGAAGGCCCTTACTGGAGGAACAGACTTCTGAGGTAGAGTTCTCTCCGCTGTGTGCCCATTTCTCAGGCATTATGTGCTGCCCATCCCTGTGGCGGCTGCTGGCGGGGGAGGGGCGCGGAATATGTGCTGCCCGCTCTAGGCTTGACCCTGGATCCCTTCCCAAGAAGGCGGTCTGATATCCTGGAGCTTTGTGTGGTCACCTGGAACCTAGGGCCCCACCCTCTGGATACACACGTGGTGCGTGACGTCCATCAGCAGATCCTCAGACACGTCGTCACTTTTCAGCAACCTTAGCACAATTTTCTGGAGGTCTTCCTCGTCAATGAAGCCGTTCTCATTAAA